CAATAAATCCAGGAGCTTGTTCTTTGAATACATAAAAAAATCAAAAGCCTTTAAGCAGACTAATCAAGAGAAAAAGGGAAAGGGTCCAAATAAATAATAAAATGAAAGAGGAGAAATTACAACTAATACCACAGAAATACAAAGGATTGTAGGAAATTACTATGAACAACTATATGCCAAGAAATTTGAAAACCTAGGTGAAATGGGCAAATTTCTAGAAAAATATAACCTTCCAACACTAAATGAGGAGGAAGCAGAAAGCCTGAACAGACCAATAATAGTTGGTAAAACTGAAGCAGTAATCAAAAAACTCCCAGCACACAAAAGCCCTTGACCAGACGGTTTCACAGGAGAATTTTACATTTAAGGAAGGGCTAACCACTGTCCTTCTCAGACTATTCCAAAAAATACAAAAAGAGGGAAGACTCCCAAATTCTTTTTATGAGGCCAGCATAATCCTAAACCCAAAACCAGATAAAGACACAACAAAGAAAGAAAACTACAGTGTAATATCACTGACAAACATAGATGCTAAACTCCTAACAAAATACTGGCAAACCACATCCAGCAATACTTTAAAAAGAGTATACACCATGATCAAGTGGGATTCATCCCAGGGATGCAAGGATGGCTCAATATTCACAAATCAAATACATCACATAAACAAAAGGAAAGACAAAAATGACATGAACGTATCAACAGATGTAGAAAAAGCATTTGATGAGGTACAGCACCCTAATTTATGATAAAGACACTCAGCAAAGTGAGAGTAAAGGGGACATACCTCAACATAATACAGGCCACATATGAAAAACCTACAGCCAACATCATACTCAACAAGCAAAAACTAAAAGCTTTCCCACTAAGATTGGGAAGAAGACAAGGATGTCTGCTTTTACCACCTGTATTCATCATGGTTGGAAGTCCAAGCCTCAGCGATCAGACAAGAAAAAGAAATAAAAGACATCCAAATTGGAAAGGAGGAAGTAAAACTGTCATTGTTTGTAGATGACATGATAGTATACATAGAAAACTAGAGATTCCACCCCAAAACTACTTGACTTAAAAAGTTAATTTGGCAAACTGCAGGATACAAAGTCAACATTCAGAGATCAAAGGTATTTTTGCACACCAACAATTAAATGTCAAAATCAGAAATTAGGGGGAAAAAAATCGATTTGCTATAGCAACAAGAAAAATAAAATATCTAGGAATAAACCAAGTAAGGAGGTAAAAGACCTGTACTCAGAAAACTACACAACACTGAAGAAAGAAATTAAGGAAGACACAAATAAATGGGAGCATATACTGTACTCATGGATTGGAAGAATTAACATCATAAAAATTGCCATACTACAAAAAGCAATTCATCTGTTCAATGCAATCCCTATTAAAACACCAATGATGTATTTCACAGAAACAGAACAGACATTTCAAAAATTTATATGGAACCATAAACGACCCTGAATAGCTGCAGCAATTTTGAGAAACAAGAACGAAGTAGGAGCGATCACAATACCTGACATCAAACTATACGACAAGGCCACTGTATTCAGAACAGTCTAGTACTGGCATAAGAACAGATACATAGATCAATGGAACAGAATAGAGAGCCCTGAAGTAAGCCCATGTCTCTATGGTCACTTAATATTCGACAAAGGGGGCAGAAGCATAAAATGGAGTAAAAATAGCCTCTTCAACAAATGGTGTTGGGAGAGCTGAACAGCTACATGCAAAAAAATGAAACTTGACCAACAACTTACACCATACACCAAAATAAACTCAAGATGGATAAAGAACTTAAATATAAGTCATGGCACCATAAAGTCCTAGAGGAGAACATAGGCAGGAAAACCTGATATTCCATGTAGCAGTATTTTCACCAATATGTCCCCGAGAGCAAGGGATATAAAGGAAAGAATAAACAAATGGGACTTCATCAAAATAAGAAGCTTCTGCATGGCTAAAGAAAACATCAGCAAAATGAAAAGGGAACCAACCAAGGGAAAATATATTTGCCAATGGTACCTCAGACAAGGGTCTGATCTCCAAAATATATAAAGAACTCACAAAACCCCACTCCAGGAAGACAAACAATCCAATTAAAAAACAGGTGAAGAACATGAATAGACACTTTTCCAGGGAAGACATAGAGAGGGCCCAGAGACATATGAAAGGGTGCTCAGCATCACTAGCCATCAGAGAGATGCAAATTAAAACCACAATGAGATACTACTTCACATCAGTCAGAATGGCCATCATAAACAAATGAACAAACAACAAGTGCTAGTGAGGATGTACAGAAAAGGTAACCCTAGTGCACTGTTGGTGGGAATGCAGATTGGCACAGCCACTGTGGAAAACAGTATGGAATTTCCTCAAAAAACTAAAAAAGGAACTGCCTTTGGACCCAGCAAATCCACTGCTGGGATTCTACCCTAAGAATCTGGAAACATCAATTCAAAAGAATCTATGCACCCCAACGTTTATAGCAGCACAATTTACAATGGCCAAGTGTTGGAAGCAACCTAAGTGCCCAATAGTAAACGAGTGGATCCTAAAACTGTGGTATATTTACACAATGGAATACTATGCAGCAGAACAAAAGAAAGAAGTACTACCTTTCATGACAGCATGGATGGAACCGGAGTATTATGATAAGTGAAATAAGCCAGGCAGTGAAAGACAAACACCATATGATTTCACCTGTAAGTGGAAACTAATCAATAACACAAACAAGCAAGCAAAATATAACCAGAGACATTGAAATAAAGAACAAACTGACAGTAACCAGAGGGAATAACAAGGGAAAGAAGTGGAAGGGTCATCAAGGAACATGTATAAAGGACTCATGGACAAAGCCAAAGGGGGAAGGATTGAGGGTAGGAGGTGGGAGTGGGTGGGACAGGGGAAAGCGGTGGTGGGAAAATGGAGACAGCTGTACTTGAATGATAATAAAAAAGAAAAAAGGACGGAAGGGAGGGAGGGAGGAAAGAAAAGAATAGACAAAAAAGAATAGCCAGTAACTGTGGGGTAATTACAAAAAAATGTCACATATACATAGTGGGATACCAGAAAAAGAGATAAGGCACAGAATAAAGATTTAAAGTAATAATGGCTGAGAATTTTCCAAAATTAATGACAAACATCAAAATGGGTCCAGGAAGATCAGAGGACACAAAGTAGGATAGATGACAAAGAAAATCTGTACCATGGCACATCATGGCAAATCTGTATCATGGCAAAATATCAAAGAAAAGAAACATAAAACTATTGGTGGCATAAGGTTAGTCTTTCCTCATTCTCTTTTGGGAATTTACCCAACAGCAAAAATAAAAGAAAGAATATTCTAAACTCTGATAGAATTAGAAGATCCCGTATGACCTAAACCATAATACAGTCAAAAGAGATATATTATCAGTGGAAGTTGACAAAAGGTATACAAAGAAGCTGGGCACAGGCACCCCGCTTACAGATTTCAGACAGCCTGTTGATGTACACAGGATGTAAGAAATGCATCCTGAGGTGCACATCTTAAATCCCTGGTCTGCAACAGCAAGCGCCTCCCTCAATCTGCAATAGCTCCAAAAACAGAGGTAATGAGATTAGATAAGGAATCACACAGAAGTTATATGTGCAGGAAAAGAAGGTAAAAGTAGTTTTTGCTTGCTATGTTCACTGGAGGAGAAAGCAAGGCTAAAAAAAGGTTTGAGTCACAGGATATATTCCTAGGAACCTGGAACTTGCTCCTACTCTAATATCTCAGTGTGAACCATGTGCAAAAAGCTTATCAAGAAGCCCTGACTGTTGCAGATCAGTAGGTTGAGTGCCTGTCTCACTAAGTGAAAGGTCTTTGGTTTGATTCCTAGTCAGGGCACACACCTGGGTTGCGGGCCCCATCCCTGGACAGTGGCATGCAAAACACAGCTGATTGACGTTTCTCTCACAAACTGATGCTTCTTTCCCTCTTTCTCCCTACCATCTCTCTAAAAATAAATAAATAAAACCTTAAAAAAAAAAACCTTATCAAGAAAAAAAAAATCATCTCTAATACAGCAGAATAAGAAAAAGGTACCATATCACTTTCTACTTCCAACCATGATAGAACAAGGACCAGGTTTATGCACCTGCTGTAAATAACTAGAAAACTGGATAAAATACAGGAAACACTTGTTTCAGACACTGGAAAGAAAGCACAGGACTATATTCATTGAGAGAGAAATAAATGAAGTAATCTTAAAACTAACCCATCTTAACTTTCTGAATAGAAAAATTTCATACCAAATGGTATCATTTTGTTTAAAGCACAGAATAACCTTATTTAAATTGGACCTCCATTATGAAAATAAAAATATAAAAGGTTATATATATGAATTTAAGACCCATCTTACATATGATGAACTAACTTTATGATAAGTAATTTTATCATAAAGTAATTTTAGACAAATGTCATTATCAACACCCAACTGAAAACTATTTTAGCCCTGGCTGGTTTGGCTCAGTGGATTGAGTGCCAGCCTGCGAATCTAAAAGTCACCATTTCTATTCCCCATCAGGGCACATGCCTGGGTTGCACGCCAGGTCCCCCGTTGGGAGCATGTGAGAGGTAACTGATTGATGTTTCTCACACTTTGATGTTTCTCACCCTCTCTCTTTCCCTCCATTCTCCTCTCTAAAAATAAATAAAATCATTAAAAAAAATAAACATTTTTTAACAAAAGACTATTTTAAAAATGCGGTGAAGTATTTTCTTGGAACTTGTAATGGGCAGATTGGTCAATTAATCTAAGATGACAAAATCAGACAGTCAAGGAGAAACATTTTATACTCAAGGTATTTTTAGGGTCAATTAATCTAAGATGTCAAAATCAAAGACAGCCAAAAAAGAAACATATTATACTCAAGATATTTTTAGGTTTGAAAAGAAATAACATGAAATCACAATTATTCAAATTATGGCTTTACTGTCTATTAAGTATTATTTTAAAATAAACAAATACCTGTTTTTTCCTAGCACGATGATTTTTAGAAGTTTCTGGATGATTGTTTAAAACACTCATTCTCTTTCTTTCAGGGGCTTGTCTCTTTCCCTCTGTCCTTCTTCTACCTAAAAATAGGAATACTGCCATCAAAAATTGTTTTACATTAAAAGAAAAAGGAATTGTAGTTTTAAAGATCACCATGAAATTCCTATTTATTTTTTAGCTATTTTAAAGAAAAAGAATTCTATGTGCTTAATTTTTCCCCCCTTTTGAATCTCAGAACAGCACAGTACAGTGCGAAGATCAGTACTGGAAAATCAGAGGGGGGTGCGTTTTGAATCTTGATTCTTTTATATGGCTTTAAACAAGTCATCTCGCCTCCTAGAGCCTGCCTTTTCATGATCTGTTAAAAAGACAAATAATATTTACTAACACCAGTGTTAAAATTTTCTTAAGATAATATTTAAGAAACATATGATACAGTAAGTATAACCCTTTAGTCATTCCCTCTTTCTTATTCATAGTTTAGTAAGACAGAAAATATGTGTATCTATAACTGAAAAGAATTACTGAAAGAGAATTTTTTATATAGAACCTAAAAGAATCTACAAATAGAAGAAAAGTTTAGCAAGAAGGTTAGATAATAAACAATTATGTAATTGTTAGATCAATAAAATTCAATTGTATTTCTGTACATTAGCAACAAATAGGTAAAATATTTAATTAAGTCAACTGAAAGATAATATTTATAATACAACAAAAAAATAACATTCTTAGGGATTAAATCTAGCAGAAGTAGTCAAGATCGAAGTGTAGTAACTTATAAAGTTTTACTATATATGTTTGTATATGTACACATACGTTGTAAGAAAATCTAAATGGAGAAATACCCACAGGAAGACTTAATTGTGTGAGTTGTGTCAAAATTATCTATTGTTACAATGCAATTTCAAATAAAAATTTCAACAGGGTTTTACAGAATTTAACAATATTACTCCAAAATTCTATGTGTTAGGAGAGGTAGTCCACCTTCGGCCCTGGCCATCCCTGCAGTTCTTGCTGAATGTACAAGGCTTATTCATTTCTTGATATCAAGAAGCTTCTGTGGTTACTAAGACAGGAAACCAAGTAGGTCAAGGGAACCAAACTATTTTAGTTTAGAAATATAATTACTAGCCATTTTGTAGCAATAGATGTAGAAAAACAACTCTGGAACTCTAGCAACATGAAACAAATATTTCTTTGAGTTTAACTTCATCGTCTTTAAAATGAGGATGATGATATCTATGGATGTAAATGTTTTTGAGCTGTAATTTTCAAGTATTAGCTAATAGTGGCCATGTCATCGGTCATCAACTATGAATAAATTTATTCAATTAATATTTACTGCAGGCTACTATGTGCTGGTATCAAGTTGGCACATGTATGATTTTTATATTGATCAGTGTATTTAGGTTTAGATCAACAGTTTAAAAATCCCTACATGAGTGCAGTATCTAGAACATAGTGTCAGTTCAATAAACATTAGCTGAGTGTATACATGCTAAGGAGGAACTTTCAATCAAATTATAATAAAAAATAGTTATGATGAAAATAATTATGTACTGTTTTTTGAGTTATTTTTGATTATTGTTGCTTGTTTCTTAAATCAATCTAGCAATACCTTTAATAAGGATAATAAATTCTGAATGCAATGAGAATAGCTAGATTCTATATATAGTCAATTCTCATGATTCATGGGTTCTGTATTTGCAAATTCACCTACCTATTAAAATCTGTAACTCAAAAGTCAAGACTCATAGTGCTTTTGTGGTCACTGGCAAGACATGTGCAGAGCGGCAAAAGATTTGAGTACCTGACATACACATTTCCAGCTGAAGTTAAACAAGGTGAAGAAACTCTGCCTTCTTACTTAGCTCTTGTGCTATAAACAACTGTCCTTTTAATAGTCTATTTAGTAATACATTTTTGTGCTTTTTGTTGGTAATTTTAAAATGGCCCAAGTGTATTGTGGAAATGCTATTTAGTGTTCCTAAATGCAAAAAGTGTTCCTTACAGAGAGAATATTTTAGATGTGCTTGATTCAGGTTTGGCTATTGTTGCTTTTTTCTTAAATCAATTCAGCAATGCCTTTAATAAGGATAACAAATTCTGAATGCAATGAAGAGGATAGCTAGATTCTATATGCAGTCCATTTTCATTATAGTGCTGTTGGCCATGAGTTCAATGTTAATGAATACACAATAGATATATAAAATAAGGTGTCCACTAACAGAAACACATTAAGAGAAGGTTATGTATTGATCAGTTAACAAAAATGTTGTGTGACCAGAGGTTCCAAGGAGCCTAACCCTGTATTGCCGCATAATGCCTCTGTATTCACTAATTCAGTGTTCAGTGTATACTTCATAGAGTGTAACTACTGTGAATAATGAGAATCAACTGTATTCATGTTTTAGATAAGTAACTATTTTAAGTTGCTAAATAAAGTTAAAATAGAAAAGCAGTGTACCATCACAGCAAAAGTACTCTAAGCTAGGCAGTCAGAATAGCTAACTTTCTAACTTAGCTACCGCCTCTAATTAAATCTGTAAAGTCATGACATTTAATCTCTTTGTGCTTCAGTTTTCTGAAGTGTGTGCTCATGTATTGTGGTGATGAGGCCAAGGATTGGCTTGCTTTTCACATCAATTTTCCACTTTTAAAACTGTAATAAGAGTACTCACTTTTAAGAGTTTCTGCTCTTTCTTCTTTCTCATTAGAATCTTGTTGGTGGCACCCGTGTTGTGACTTAGATGAGAAGAGGTTCTTGTGAGACCTAAATAAAACATCAAAGCTTGTGACTGGTTCCACAAAGACTAGAAAAGCTATGGAAAAAGGGAGGTGATTTGTCTCCTCCATTCTCGGACATTCTACTTAGGCCTGTTTCCTTTGATGCTCTCCTTGCTTAGTGTTCCATCTTAACCTACTGCCTTTTAAGATTTTTGTTATCAGACTTCCCTTTCTCCCACCACTTATTTTCTCCTTCTCATCTACTCAAAAATCAAGATTCTTTTGGTTTTCCAATTAAACAGATGAAGTAAAAAAAACTTCAGAGTGTAAAGCATTAACTTTCATTCTCTCCTATGGCTTAAGTTTATTTCCCCAAAGGGAAATTCCAAAATTCCTTTACACATGATGGCAGATACCACTTGATCATCTTTGTAATTTCCAAAAAGGGCTGTATTGAAAGGTAAGGCTGTTTGGAAATACAGAATGTGGCAGCATTTTTGGACAACAGTGAAAAGTTGGTATTATTCCAGTTTCATAAAGGAGAAAACTATGATGAAAAAGTAATTCACTTAAGCTCAGGCAGCTATTTTATTACCACCTAAAATCTTTATTTTCACCTCTGTAAGCGCTCTGTGCAATCTGCTAATCCTGTCCCTCCCTCTCAAAACTTTCTCTTGTGCTCTCTGGAATGCCATTCTCAGCCTCTTCACCAGTTACCCCACCTCTTCGCTTTGTTTAACGTAGCTCTCCCTTCAAGAGACAATATTTCTCTCCTTGTGGCTTTCTCAAGTAGATCTACTTATCTTCCACCTTCCATGAAGAACAGGGTCCCAGAGGTGGGTCTTTTATATAAATGAACACCACTTTCAGAGTCTTACTTCCACAGAGACCTTAGCCCGTCAGGACTTGTGCCACTGAGGTGTACCACCCACTACCATGACTCAGCCAATCATTATCCTTCCTAGCATTTCCCACCATTCACAGATCTCTCCCTGCCCCTAACTATGGCTTTCAACATGAGTTTTTTCAGTGTTCCCTAGATAACCCAATGAGCAAGTGAGCCACTCCAACATGGTTCCATTCAGCATCCTGACTGCTCTGTCTCTGAAATGATTCATGCAGACTTCCTGCTCTCTAAACATGTGACACTATTCTCTTACAGCATTTATACTAGGTTAGGTACAGTTTTTCAAGTAATTTCATAAAATCAAAATTTGCAACATTCATCAGAAATGTAACCTCTATCCCCCTCCTGCCCCAGCATTACATTCTTGTTTCTATGGCAGAGTGAGAGTGTACTAAACATCTGCTTTAAGTTCGCGTGCTCCCTATGTGTGTATTCCAATAAAGGCATTGCGAAAGCAATGTGAGACAACTCAGAGTCCCAGAGGCAGGTTTCTATAGTTTGGAATTTCAGGACATGTCAGGGTCCAGACCACCAGTTGAGGTAAGTAGGATGCTCTGATATTCTTTAAATCATACCATTTTCATGGCATTTATCACGATCTATCTAGGTCTGCAGGAACTGCTGAAAAGATTTTAAAAACAGAGAAGAAAAATGTCAATTTACCTCACCTCATTAAGGATACTGTACCCTGTGAGGATTCAGTTACTGCAGATGGTTTGTCATTAACACTTTAAAGAAAAAAAAAATGTTAAGAATGCAATAAAAAGAAACATTTCATAAGAACAGTACTTTCCACAAGACAATTCAGTAAAAACTTCAATTTGTGCAACATATCTTTAGGAAAGAAATTCTGGTACCATCAGGACATATACTGTCCATTACAACATGGCTAATTTTCGCCAGATACGCTTACCAGAGATAGTAAACCAAGCTTCCCAAACACAATTTAAGCAGAATTAATGCTGTAATCAAGTATTTATAAAGTCACTCTTTAAAAAACTCTCCCTTGGATCTTTATTTCCATTCAAGTTTATCCTCTTGTCCTCTCCACCAGTCTCTAATTGAATTTTTAAAAAAAATCTCTCCCTTTTATGATAGTTAAAATTAGCCACCACAGACACTGCACAGCTATTGACACCACCATGGCTTCACTGCAACTACTCTCTCTTAAAACAACATTTCCTCTTCCAACTACCTGTCAAAATCTTAACCACCCTCCAAGGCCCTGTTCAGTGCTCACACATCCTTGAAGGTGTTCATATCAAATCTTTCAGCATGTAAGTTCATCCAGAAACTAAAAAATTATGTGTCTAATGTTTGTTTCACATCTGTAATTGTTATGGTCTCAAATAGTTTATAAGCTTTATCAGAGCAAAATATTTATTTCATCTAGTATTGATAACATAAGATCTTCATCTATCCTAGCATTTGTCTGACCTTACAGTCACAACTCTGATTCCATCTATTTGCTTCTAGGATGGTTTTGTAAGTTGCTTGATTCATGATTTTTACTTTGTATCTAGTTTTGGTTTTGCCCTGTGTCTGGTGCAGTTCTACTGTAAGCCTAGTAACAAACTAGGCACCAAGAATACAACCCCCCGCCCTTCCCCAAATTCTCAATCTAGTGAGAGGCACAGACAGGTAAACAGATATGTTACTATCCAAGGTAAGTCCCTTTACAGTGTTATGACTTGATACTATGGGAGCAGAGAAGTGACAACTCTGGTCAGAGGGCTCAACAAGACTTCTTATAGGTGATCTCTGAGCTAGACCTTGAATGGCAGGTATTCTTGGAGAGAATAGAAAGTAGTAAATTCAGAATTGAAGCAAGGGTCGAGGCATAAAAAAGCTTATGGTATTTCAAGATGAGGGAGAAGTTTTGGTTCTAGAAAATACTGTGTATGTGGACAGGGAGGGGTTAATGCTTAGGAACAAGGTTATTTATGAGGGGAGAAAAACAGAAAGTGGCTATGTAAGGCTCTGTAAGCCATGCCAATACATTCTAACTCATCTAGTAAGAAACTGAAAGCCAACAGGGGTTGTTATTAAGCTGTGAAGTGATTTAGACAGACTTGTTTTCATGGGAAACTAACTCTGGAAGTCATGTCAAGGATGGATTTGTGTGGTATAAAGCTAAGTGATAATCTAGGATATAAATGGTAAGAAAGGATAAATTAGCAAGACATTTCTAAGGAGGGATTCATAACATTTGGGGAGATAACTGGACGTATGATGTGATGGAGAGTCAGAGAACAGAGAGCAGATGAGAACAAGAATTCTGTTTTACACACTGATTTACTCTGTGTCTAGGAGACGTTTGAAATAGTGTGTGATACTATATAAGGAGGGGACATAAGACATGTTCATTATATGCACAAATAATGGTAAGTTTTAATTTTGTTATATTTTCAAGCAGTATTACACTGGGCAAGAAGACTGGGCTGCAAGAATCTATTAGGTCTTAGTATTACTAAACTTTGATTTCCTAAACAAAATGAAGTAACTGAACCAATAAAACTAATATCTGTACTTCTCAAAATGTGTCTTAGAAAAAAATAGGCCTGTGAGAACTAGCACTTTAGAAGAGGCTTTGGGGAAATGACAGTGAGGAGCAGATCACATTCTGATAGCAGGGACAAAAGAGACTATGAGACAACTGAGCTCAGTCCTGAGGTGTGATCAAGGCCATGTCCATCCAACTCGGACCCAAATCCCCATCTCTAAATAAGTATTTAAGATGGGGGACCTGCCCTGGCCAGGTGGCTCAGTTGGTTGTAGCATCATCCCTTATACCAAAAGGCTGTGGTTCAATCTGTGCTTGAGGCATATGCAGGAGGCTACCAATCAATGTTTCTCTCTCACATAGCTGTTTCTCTCTCTCTCTCATATTAGTAATAAAAAAAAAAACAAACCCTTGGATGAGGATTCAAAAAAAAAAAAAAAAAAAAAAAAAAAAAAAGACAGGGAACCTTCAGCATTCAAGTCATGGTCCCAAGAAAAAAAAAATTACATCCATTGCCAAATATATCCATCCAGAGACCACAGGATGACTGTTTGGCCTTGGGTTAAGGGTAGAATAGAGAGAATGAATCACAGGTTCAATAGAAAGAAAATCTTTATAATGGTCGAGTTTATACTATTGACAGGGTTAGCTTCTAAAGCCGAAGCAAAAGGTAAAATCGACTTTGTAAAAGTTATCGTTGCCAACCCCTAAAGAAAAAATAATTTTAGAGACTGAACTCTTGTCGCTCAGTATGTATGACTGACACAGCGCTTCCCCTCCAGCACGGGAGCAAATCACTATTTCTGCAGTGGAGCACCAGAGAGAGTGGGCTACATACACCTTAAAGGTGTATGAGCAATGTCTTAAATACTAGAATAACTGTCAGAAGAGTCAGTCACATAATGTGGGCAAGTGGGATATGAGAACTAAGGGGCACAGATGATTCAGGTTTCCAACCTCAGTACTGTTCCAGAGCACAAGTCCACTGAAAATGGTAAATGGTATCACACTATTTAAACTATGTATTTTTCTCACTCTCTATTTTTGCTTACCACATGTAACACAATTTTGCAAAAGCCATCAGGAAAAATAACTCTACATACTCTGAATCACCAAATGTTTATCATCACCAAATCAATATACCCAATGCTCGATAATTATTTTTATTAATGGCTCACTAGTATCACTTTTATATAAAGATAGTGCATTCATACAACAACAAAAAAATGTATCAATGGATTTACAAACCTTTTGCTTATGTCCAAATCAGCTTGAGTTTCCACGTCAGTATCAGTATTATTAGACTTATCTTGAGTAATTGTTGTTCTTGCTCTTTTACTTTCTACTACTTTTGCTGCTGCCTTATAAAGGGGGTTGGGGAGAGAAAGGAATGCATTAAGCCATTTAAAACAAAGGACATTAAAATTAAAGCTAATTCTTTGATAGTCATAACAAAAGTAATTATTCACAAGCCACCCAAGGGCACTGTGCTGTTATTTTCCCCAGTAACTATGACATCACCAGCAGCTATTTCAGCTATCTGCTTATGGAGGTCTTTCTCTGTAAATGTATGTCATACATAACAATGCTCTCTTGGCAATATTAAGATAAAAGGTTTCTTAAGAAAAAAAAAATCCAGATATTTTAAAATAAAACTACCCCAAGTTAATCAATGCTCCATCATAACATATTAAGTTAAAAATTTTTGAGGTCAAGACAGAGGCTAAAAATATATTATAAAAAAATATAAAGGCCCTTTTTCAGTTTAATTTTACTTTTTCCAAAAATATGTTAAAACTTTCTGTAAAGTTTAATTAAATTTAAATGAAATATTTTTATTTATTAACTCATTCTAAATTTCCCCCCTAAACTTTTTATTTTGAAAACTTCCTTAACTCTTATTTTCAAAAGTTGTAAAAATAATACAAAGATCACAATAAACCCTTTAGGTTCATTAATTGTAACACTTAGCCACACTGTTCTGCAAAAATCACTAAACAAAATTCTGATTTTTTTTAAAGGATTTCTATTTTAACTATTCTTCTTTATTATAATAATTTCTCCTAAGTCTACCAGTCATTCTGAAATATGCATACCTTCATTAAAAATGTTGATGATTTTTCATCAAGCACATAATTCACAAAATTCTTAATTTTCTCCATCATGTGGTTGTAGCTGAAGTGTTGAAAAAAGGAATGAAATGTATCTTTTTGAGAGATTATTGTAAGCAATTTCCTTTGTAAAGACTAGAGAAGATAGAAAAAACATTAACACATAAATCACAAATAAGATACTAGAAATTGTCATTTATTAAGTTAAAAAGATTATAAAAACAAACTCAAAGATACACAAAAAATTGGTGAAATTCTAATGTTCTAAATGGCCTACTGATTTATTTTCTTTTTAATTAAAAAAAATCTTACATTCACACACATTAAAAAAGAACTTAAAAAATATTGTAAACCTGAATATCCATTACCGAATTTAACAAATGAGTATCATCTGTACAATTACAGGCCTTGTTTATAAGCAGGGGCAGGGAACCCAATAAATGTATCAGGCTTTCTGCTGCAATTTGGAGTGCTATACCCTAGGAACAGGAGAAAATTAGAGATAGACTGAGCCTTACTAAAACTACAGCTGACTGTCAACTTGGCTCAGTCCCTCAAGGGATTAAGGTGATCATCCCCCAACTCTACACATACCAGTTAATGACAAATGCTCACCTGCATTAGTCATCAGGGAGACAGAAATTAAAACCCAATGTGACACACTACATATGTGCCAGAACAACTAAAGTGAAAACCACAGATAAGGTCTGTGAAGCAACTGGAACTCTCCCGCAGCACTAAAGGAATTGGGATGACTGTTTTGGAAGCTTATTTGGCAGCATCTATCAAAACTGCCTATGTTTATACCCTATAACCCATCAACTCTATTCCTAAGTATATTACATGTTTTACAAAAGACATGTATAAAGGAATATAATAGTCCAAAACTGGAAATGACTCAAATGTCCATCAACAGTAGAATACATAAATTGTAGTACATTCCTACAATGAAACAATGAGAATGAACAAACTATTGTAAGCAACACCACAGATCTTACAAATATAAACTTGCAATATGATTCTATTATATAAAGTTCAGAAAAATGAAAAGCTGATCTTGGATGTTACAGGCCAGTGGTTAGCCTTGAGAAGGTGACAGGGGACAGTGACTGGAGGATGGGGATGCTGGTGATCTTCTGATTCATGATCTAGGGGCTCATCACACAAACATGTTCCTTTTGTGAAAACACACCTACTTATTTATACATTTATGCTACATGTTCTCTACTAGAGGTATGCTATTGGTCAATAAAAAGTCGACAGAAAATCTATTTTTTCTTTGAATAAGCTTAATTTACTCTAATAGCACTTTATTTTTAATATTCAACCTTAACATTACACAGAGAAACAAAAATGACCAATGATCACATAAGAAACCTATAAAAAACCATAAGAAAAATAAGCAAGTTATAATGCCTTCCTCCATAGCTGCATTGCCCAATATAGTACTCACTAGCCAGACATGGCTACTGAGCCCTTAAAATGTATGAGCCCTGAATTTAGACAAAAGTGTAAAATACACACCAGGTTTTGAAGACAGTACATAAAAGGAGTGCAAAATAGCTCGTCAATAGATTTTTATATTAATTACATGTTTAAAATGGTTTTTAAAATGTTAAAAAATATAATGGGTTAAATGTTATTAAAATTAATTTCACTTGTTTCTTTTTACTTTTTTAATGTGGCTAAGAAAAAATTTAGTATCACATGTGACTTGCATTGTACTTCTATTGGACAGCACTGTTCTATACATCATTTCTTTTCTCCTTCCATGTTCTTTCAATTTTCCTCATTCCATATAAACAGTTCTAAAATTCTGATTCTAATAGAAACAATTACCGTATAAGAATGTGAGTCATCAAATATTCTTTCAAAGACTTCTTCTGCTTCCTTAAAATTGCCACTTTCCATGCAAACGGCTATAGCCTAAAAGATAAGGATGACAAACATAACTTAGACTGCTTTTCAAAATATTGAATTGTGTTTAATATTGAAATAACTACTTTATTTAAAATATTTTTATGTATATAGTAATTTTTTTTGTAGTTTAATAATTTTGATTTGATAAACTATATAAAATACTTTTTCAAAGATAAAGTAACTGTTGTTTTAAAAGACGTGAAAAAATCCCACATATACTAATAAACATATAGCATTCTATCTCAAATTTAGGCCAAATTAAAGACAAGTATTAATAAATAAATTAGAAGCTACATTATGTACACAAGACCCACTTAAAGCATATATTACATTGTTAGATATATAAATTTGTTTCTAGAATGCTCATTTTATTTCATTGATCTACTTGATTATTTCTGTGCTGGTGTCATGTTGTTTTAATTGCTGAGACTTTATAATGGATTTAAATTTTTTAATATTTTATAATGGAGTTTGACGTTTAAAAAAATAAATAAAATCAATTTGCATTAAAAAAAGATAAACAGAAATGTTAAAAAAAGAAGACCCACTTACATATTTTGACCAAAAGGGAAATGAGAGGGGAAGTAGACAGCATTTGTGAAGATCAGGATATATAAAATCTGCTAGAGAGGATACCTGGAAATCTCTAACGGAAACCTAGGAAGCCAGATGCTTTTCAACGATCATTTTATAAACTACCCTTTTTGATACCATATGTGGTGAAGATATGGGACCACCATTACCATCTAAATAGCTTTATAAACTTGGGCAAATTATTCAACCTCTTGGTGTCTCATTTTCCTTATATGTAACAGGGTGGAAATAATAGTACCTACTTCATAGGGTTGTTGTGAGAGTTAGAGTTATATATGAAAATACTTAGAATAGTACCTGGCAAATAGTAAGCAACATAGTATATGTTTGTTATATATTTTATGGTGATCCCCTCAACTTTTTACAAGTATATTAACAAAGGCCTGCTTCCTCTAGAAACTCCTCCAACTGGGATAACATGACAAATCTCTTTGCTGTGCACTGATATTCTTAAAAGAAGCAGTCATTTTTCTGCCCATTCTCTTCAGAACTTAATTCTACCTGACAGTCACTGTCTTATCAATAATTAATTCATGGGAAGGTGGAATTCCTCCTGTGTTTTCTCTCCTACCCAACAGTAAAAAATTTTTTTAAAATGTGGAAAAGTTTATTTATCTAACAAAATTCCTCTTATAAAAACATATTTTCTCTGTTCTTATATCTCTGAGTAACTTTTTGGCTTATCATTTTTTTTTTTTTTAAATTTAAGTTTTACTGTCTTTTTTAAAATTCCTCACCTGGGGATGTGTTTTATGGATTTTCTTTTTAGTGAGAAAGGAAGGGGGAGAAAGAAACATCAATCAGTTGCGTCCTGTACCCCCTCTAACTGGGGATCAAACCTGCAGCTTAGGTATGTGTCCTGACTGGGAATCGAACCCACAGCCTTTTGCTGTACAGGATGGTGCTCCAACTAACTGAGTCACCTGGCCAGGACTGGCTTATCACTCCTTAATAGGCTTCTCCTAAAACTCTCTCTACATAGTTAAAACTTTACATTTTCTTGATCACAAAAATCCACTGATTTTTTAAATCAAATATTCTACTTTTTTTCGAATTTATAATCTTTAAATAAAAATTGAGAGGGCACAAACCACAAGTTTTTCAAAGCTGCTTGTTGATCTTTAAATAGATGTGGCACATTTTCCCAAGTGTGGAAAATAAATACTTAGGTGACAAACACTACTAAGCTCTAGCTCTTAGAGCTCAAGTCAAGCCTATAAACCAAAGGTTTTCTAAAGAAAATTATAATAAATTTTACTCTGGGTTTAGTGCCCTACATTTATTAGAGTGGCTTTTCATTGCTTTAGATGTTGTGCTTTCATTTTGTAGCAAAGTAATAATTATAAACACAAAGTAATACTCATACCTGAATTTTAATTAAATTCTGTATTTCTTCATGAAATTTGTCATGTTCCTTTTCAATTGAATCCCAAATCATCAGGGCTGATTCCAAGGGTGTAATTCGTTCATCAGTTTCAAACTGTGCATCTTTTAAAACAAGAACAAAAATAAGTAACTTCGAAAGCTAAGTAGAACCTTACATTTTCACTTAAAAAATTTCATTTCTTATTTACTGAATGTATACTACCTGCCAGGCACTACCCTTGCATATACCTTTTCAGGGAAGTGATCTGATATTTCAAGTTAATTTCCTTATTAAAATCAGCTTTAACAATGGAAGAAGCTAGATGAGCTTACAGTACGTTGAAAGCTTTACTAAAATATTGATTTTAAGATCTAAAATAAACTATACATTACGTAAGGTGACACGGTAGAAGAATTCTCAAATGGTTCATAAGTCTAACTGCATTATAACAAACCTCTAGAGCACAAAATTGGTTTACTTTGAATTTGATTTTATCAAACTACTTAAAATCCTTGTTAAATATTTTGTCGTTTTTTAAAAAAAGATTATTTATTTACTTTTAAAGAGAGGGGAAGGGAGGGAGAAAGACAGGGAGAGAAACATCAATGTGTGGTTGCCTCTTGTGCACCCCTCACCTGGGACCTAGCCCACAACCCAGGCATGTGCCCTGGCTGGGAATCTAACTGGAGACCTTTTTGTTCACAGTCTGGCACTCAATCCACTGAGCCACACCACCTAGGGCTAGTCTGTGGTTGTTTTAAATAGGATCTTTCAAAAAGTTATTTCTCTACCAACATTCTTTTAGTCACCAAGGCTTAAAAATCTAAGGAGTCACTGTTTACTCATTCTCATCACCATATCCTATATCTTGCAAAACACTTTATAGTCGTTTAAAAACTTGACTTTGGAGTTTATTCCAGATTCTGTCATTACCTATTTGGTGCTGAAAAAGTTACTTCACTTTTCTAAGCCTCATTTTTCTCAGCTACAAAATGGTAAAAATAAATACCATCTCACAGGACTTACGTAAATATTTAATGAGACAGTATTTGTACTACAGCTAAAACTTTCTTAAAACAGAATTTTAATCAGGTTATTCTGATCAAAGACTCACAGTGGCTGGTAAACTACTTAGCAAATTACACACAAACATCTCAATATGACATTCAGAACCTTCATTATAATCTATAATCTACAAGTATAATCTATAATTCATTCACTCAATAAATATTGAGCACTCACTAAGTGTAGGCAGTATACTAAAAACTAAGAATATCTTAGTGAAAAAGACAAAGTCCCTATTCTTAGGATGCTCACAATGCTAACGGCAAAGACAATAAACATATTAACAAATAATTTAACTTCAGAGTAATAAGGGCTAGTAAGAAAAAAAGGGTACTAGGAATAGAGAATGATGGGGCAGGGCCTCTTTCAGACAGGGTAGTTAGGAAAGGCCTCTCTGAAGAAGTGACAGTGAAGCCAAGATCAGCAGCATAATGTGAAACAGAAGCAGCAAAGCTCTACAAGAAAAACATTCCAAGGGGCACAGCAAGTACAAAGGTCCTGAGGAGGAGTTTGGTGTTCAAAAGATAGGAGGTCAGCCTCCTAAGAGTAATAGTGAGCAAGTGGGATGCATCTCATCAGAGATGACAGAGGAGGGAAGTAAATGTCTGTTCTAGAACTCTGAACGTAGAACGAACAAAACTGCTGGTGGATTGGCTATGGAGTGTGAGAAAAACAAGGAACTCTCTCAGATTTTAACAACTGGATAAATGGTGCTACCATTTACTGAAACAGGATCTCTTGGTGAGGAGCAAGTCTTGGGGAGTTAAGAATGCAAATCAAGAGTTCTATTATCCAAAAGACAATTAAAAAACAAAACAAAACAAAGCAAGACAAATAATAAAAAAAGAAAACACAAACTTCTACTATTCAGGTAAACTACAGTTCATTCTTCAAATAACTCTAATGTTTCTGTTTTGTATAGAATACTATTTTCACATTCTTATGAAACCCATCAATTCTTTGAGGTTTAGGGCAAACTCTATCTCCTTCCTGAATTTCTTCCTTACTCCAGCTATGTGACTGGGAAATATCTTTTCTCTAAATCTCTGTATCACCATTCCTATCTTTGTTATACTTTGCAGTGTTTTATACTTAGACTCATTTCAACAATCCTATTAGCATTTAAGTGTCTTAAGGCAGAAAATCTCTTATACCACAATGCATGATGATTTTATTTCAAGTTTTGAGGGCTGGAGCTACATGGTATATTCCTCTTAACCCCTGTAGTTCCTGGTCCACAGCAACTATGTAAAAATAAACATACTGAAGAGAACTGTGAATGGCACATCCATTTTACCTTTGTAAAATTAGAGGGAGCATGCAATTTAATATTAGCAGTTTCCACAATCCCTACTTTAATTCCTGCGGTCCTCTCCTAATTGTTTCACCAACATTTTAGATATAAAACTATATTCATATACTAAGTCTCTTTACAGTCCAGGCTTTGTGCCAGATTCTTAGGATACAAACTTGAGAAAGAAAAAGTTTCTGCCCTTGTGGAACTCACATGCTAGCTATGAAGGAAGACATGGAGACAAATCTATGTGACTGGCGCTTTACTAGAATCATACAGGGTGGGGAAAAAGTAGGTTTACAGTTGTTTGTATGGAAAACAATACAATAACTAATAAATAACACAAGAATAAACTGTTTCGCATATTCACTACTGTAAACCCACTTTTACCCTATATTATCCAGCAGTTTTTAACCCTAGCTATACCTCAGAATCATCTGAGGAGCTTTTAAAAAATATTGATGCCTAGGCCTACCCCAGAGATTGGTTTTATTAGTATAGGGTAGAGGCCATACATCTCTCTTTTCTAAAAACCATCTAGGATAGACTGGTGTATTCGAGGCAAAGAGTATTAGCTCTAAGAAGGGATCTTGGAAAAGATCCCTTCATGAAAGAGAAAGTACCTGAACTGGGTCATTAAGAACAAAGAGAAGATAACAAAGTGAAGAGGACAAAAATGGAAAGAGAGTATTTCAGAAGATGGAGCAGCAGCAGGTAAGGCAGGTGTACAAAAGATATTCATACTCCTAGTTAACATTTACTGAGGCCCTACTATGTGTCAGGCACTGTGCTAAGTGCTTAATATTCAATAGCTCCTATATCCACACAATTTCTTTAACAGTGTACACAACAACAAAAAAAAGTGCACAGTATTATTAACCTTGTTTTATAAAGGAGAACCAGAGATCTGAAGGTCACACAGCTAGCAAACAGCAGAGGCAGACAGTAGAACCCTTAAAAAGTACTATGTCTCAACAAAGGTGCATCTCAGGAATAACAAGATGGCTGGTATGATCAAAGTACATGTAAGGCATGAAATAAAAATGCAAAGGCAGATGGCTTTCACATCTGCTTTCTTCCTTTAACAGTCATCTTTCCTAATAGGTCTTTCCTGACTGACATTACTGACCCTTCTCACTAATCTGCCTTCTTCCTTATCACTGAGATATAGAAAAAAATGTATATGTGTTAGATCTTAACTTCAAAAAAATTTACAGTCTAGACCTTTCAGGTAGGATATGGATACTGCAGCAGGCCAACACTCCCACAACAACTAGAAAAAACTGGATAAACTGCAGAGTTAGTTGCTGTAGACATGGGATAGCTATGGGAGCAATGAGGACTTGATGAACTTCAGTTCCCGTGGGAAACTCTTGAGTTGAGCTGACGATTTGTAGTTGTTTTCTTTCCTGAGCTCACTTGTTACTGAAGCTGAGGGTCCAGTGTACTTCAGACAAAGAGATTTTACTGGGGGTAAGAGAAATGAAAAAAGCTTCTGGTGCTTTCCTTGGGGCTACCTTGGTGGACTAGAAAGTAGAAAAACTGAAAATAGATTTTTCCCCCCCATAGGAGCATGTGCTGAGTTCTGGGACAGTGCAGGAAGCTGGTTGGAAAGATAGGAAAATCTCCCAGGGTTGCACTGATCTTAAGATATAAAGTCCCCTGAAAAGAGAAGCAAACAAATTTTCCCTTCAAGACATTTGCCATAATTTAAAGCTATGTGCAGCAGAAGACTAAAATGAACATGGTAAACCACAGCTATATGCAATTTTTCAACAGTTAAAATATGGCTCGTCCAAACTGAGATGTGTTTCAAGTATAAAATACACATTAGATTTCAAAAACGTACTGCAAAAAAAAAGTACTGCAAAAAAAAAAAAAAATGTGCCAACATACCAATTTATATTGGTATGTTGGCACATATTTTAGAAATATTGGGTATACTGCTAAATTTAATTCCACCTATTTCTTTGTAATTTATTTAACGTATTATCCCCTTTAATCATTATAAGGTGCCCACCATCATTGTCTCTTGTTATGGTTTTTTGTCTTGGACTCTATTTCGTCTGCTGCAAGTATGGATACACCCGCTTTTCCCTGGATGCCATTTGCTTGGAGTATCATCTTCCAGCCCTTCATTTTTCTAAATACTTTACTTAATGTAGCTATTGCAAAACTTTCCATTACACATGGGGCTCACATTATATTCCTATCAGGCAGCGCTGATGTAAAGCAATCACTAAAAAAAATGCAAAAAGGTGTGTATAGTTGAAAATCCAATAAATAAATTAAAATGAAATTTCAAATGAGTCTCACTTGAGTCCATTATGGTAAAATTTATTTATTATTGATAACTGTCCCTGGCTTCTTGTATCTAAGATAGACTAAAAACAGGATCCTGGAGAATTTAAGATTAAACTATGGGGTCACACACAAACTCTGGATTTTCACCATCCTTTTTTGGGGGAAGGTAGGGGGAAAAGGTAAGCTACACTGAATAAACGTTATATGTGAAGCACAGCTGAACACTTCAGAATATTTTGTCACATTTAATTGCAAAACAACTCTGTTGACAACCATGTTAAATTATGGTCTGCGTGGTCAGAAATTCTCTAACTGTGACCACATCAGCCTCTTTTCTTCTTCAGCAACAGGCCCAAACCCGCCCTTAATTCTGTCTCTCTCATATCTACTCTGCCTCTAGTTCTATCCACTTATGAGTCCTGGCACCAACTCACCCCCAACACAAAGCACGCTACATGAGCCAGACAGATTAGCGAGGGCCTTGGGAATGGTATTAACACACTGAGATTTTAGGTAATACAACATGTTTATCAGTAAGCAGTTTCATGTAAGTACTGCCTACTGCTTGGGACTATAGGGAAAGCATTGTATAAACCAGTAAAAATATGTAACTACTTGCATCAAAAGATCCTTTAAATGACTACGGTGTAGCATCAGCCATTACTGATAAACTGGATCAGGCATATCCATCACAATCTAAAATGAACTTTGGGGACAAGGGACAGAAATATTATAGTTAGAAATCATTCCCTTATATAAATAAGTGCTGAAATCAAGTTTAAGTAAGAGGCTACAAATACTGCAGTTGCTAGTAAAAAATGGAGTGTGCATAATAGGATGAGTCACCACAAAAGCAGTCAAAGAACATATATGTATGACCCGTGGACACAGGAAACAATGTGGTGATGGCCAGCGGGAAAGGGAGCAGAGGCTAGGAAGAAGGGGGCAAAGAGGGGAAAATGGGGACATCTGTAATATTGCCAACAATAAAAATAAAGAAAAGAATTTAAGGTAGAGCATATGAAGCGTGGGACCGCAACAGCAGCATCAGAATCACCTGGAAACTTACAGAAAATGTAACTCCAGGGCTCCTCACCAATCCTATTGAACATTCTACTGAATCACAAACTCATGAATGGGACTTAGCATTCTGGATTCTTTTTTTCCAACAAGTTTTCTAATAATTCCGAAACACGCTCAAGTTTGAGAACCAATGCTCTAAGAATATGGGGACTATAGTTCTTTTATTTGCTTTAGCTACATTTGTGTGTAGACATGCATGACGAATACATGTAGGCAAACATTAAAAAACAAATGACAGCTCCCACATGTTTCTCCTCATCGTCTTATCTTTAGACAAGGATTGAAATATTTCCAATATAAAATAAAAACACATATTTACCAAGGGCTTTTCCTGCGGCAATTCTTGTCAAAAACTGACATATGTATACAGTTCTTAATTGATAAGATGTTAGACTGGATAATCCATGAATAATAGCTGAAAAAGAAAAGAGTGAATTTTATTAAAACATTAAAAAAAACAAAACACCCTTGTTCTGACTGATGTGGCTCAGTTGGTTGGGCGTCATCCCGAAAAGCGAAAGGGTGCCTGTTCGATTCCAGTCAGGGCACATGCCTGAGTTGCAGGCTAGTCCCCGGTTGGGGTGCATGCAAGAGGCAACAGATCGATGTTTCTCTCTCTCACAGTGATGTTTCTCTCCCTTGCTCTATTCCTACCTTTGCTTCTCTCTAAATAAATAAATAAAATCTTAAAAAGAAACAAACAAAACAGTCTCCACTGGGCTTGCAACCAGGGGAGCAATGGGCAGTGGCAGCTCATCCTGGTTACTAAACCCCCTGAACCTCTCTCCAAAGCCTTGTTTTCTCTGACTTCTTAGTGAGCCAAAGCAGCATCGCCAAGGTTCATTTCTTTCCTATAACATTTCTGGAGAGACAAAGCAGCTCCACCAAGGCTCTCTCTCCTTGTTGCTTCTTCTGTCCTAAGTCCTTCCTGTTTCACTGTCCACAGTTTTAATAAACATCCTCTCAAAGATAAAAATAAAAAACAGAACAAAAAGACAGCAATAAACACTTGTTTAAGTAAAACTGGTATTTCACATGTAGAATAGTAAGTATTTAAAACTACTTTCACAGGTAGCACTTTAATGAAAAGGGAGATAGATATCCAAATTATAAAATGTGTCAAGTCATTATCTGGAAGCTTATTTTATACCTCCAAATTTCTAATGTTACAGGAAGTATTTTATATTATTTCCGTCAAGGTATCAGTTAAGTGAGAGTCTATTCAGTTTACAAAGCTTTCTTTTAAAAATACACTTACTTACATTAATCTCCCAAATATCTGAATGCTGACCCAGATATTATGTTACACAGTGACTATATACAATGGTGAGTAAACCATAATCCTGGACTACCAGGATTATGAATCCTGGTGAGTTTATTACCATGTAGCAATGAAACACAAATGACTGAACAACTAAAGTAAAAATGTGGAGGAAACCGAAAAAGATAAGTATAGAATACTACTGACACATGTAACAAAGAAACGTCAAGGAAGGTTTCTCTAAGGAAATAATGTTTAAAGACCATAAGGCACCATTATACAATACTGCACCTTGGACTTACTTAACATATTTAGAAGCCAAAAAGCAGTCTGGCAGCCACTAAGCAAACAAGACAAATAAATACATTTCCTCAATTCTAAAATGCCATAATCTTACACTATACTAGCAATTATCTGGGCCAAATATAGCCATAAGATAATAAAATAGGATTCAAAGACAGCACAAAATTTAAATAAAATTTAAACACAGTTCATTCAGTATTTACTGAACATCTACTTCTAGCCAATATTAGGAACTGATGACTGAATGGTAAGATAGCCAGCTGGTCCCTGCCCCTCATGATGGTTTTAGTCTAAAAAGGCACAAATTAAACCCTACACATCACTGCCCTTCGGAACAAGAAAAATTTACTCTGATTCAACCTGACTACTTGCTTCTTCCATGCCTGTACCAAACACTGCTGACAGAAAAATGCATTAGGGAGGATCTAATAACTAGCAACAACAACAACTCTATTTAAGCACTTATTTTATATAACACCAGGCACTACTCTTAAGTCCTTTATACCAGTAGTTTTCAACTGGGGGTGATTTTGTCTCTTAGAAAACATTTAGCATGACAATAAACTCACAACTATCAACAACTGAACCTAAAAAAACAAAAACAAACTAAGCAAACAATTAGAACAGGAACAGAATCACAGAAATGGAGATCACACAGAGGGCTATCAGTGGGGAGGGGGAGGGGGGAGAATGGGGGAAAAGGTACAGGGATTAAGAAGCATAATTAGTAGCCACAATATAGACAGGGGAAGGATAAGAATAGTATAGAAAATGGAGAAGCCAAAGAACTTACATATATGACCCATGAACATGAACTATGGTGGGGGGGGGGTGATGCTAGAGGGAATGGGAGTACCAGGTGGACGGAAAACATGGGACACCTATAAGAGCATAATTAATAAAATGTACTTTTAAATAAAAGAAAATATTTAGCAATGTCTGGAATCTTTCTGGCTGTCATGAGTGGCGGAGGGGGCTAATGGCACCTGGTGGTGGCGGTCAGGGATGCTACTAAATGTCCTACAATGCACAGGTGCACCTGCATCCCCCCACTCCTGTCCACCCTCATGCATACACAAAACAAACTATTACGAGGAGCAATATGTCCATAGTGCTGAGGCTGAGAAACCTTGCTTTACACATATCAGTTCATTTGGTTCTCTCAACAGCCCTATGAGGTAATTACTATTATTATTATCGTTTTACAAGTTAGGAAATCAAAGTACCAAGAAGGTAAGTACTTGCCTCAGGTCTTACAGCTATAAAGTAGCAGAACCAGTAATCGAATTCAGACAATTTACTCTGGAGTTCATATTCTTAATCACTACCCCGCAAAGCTTCTCATGGTAGGAGAAAGGTTAGAAATAACAATCTAGAAAATGTGTCATCTGATAGAGAGGTGTGACAACAATTCTGAGTTGGAATGAAAGAGCTAAGAAACTTTTCTACAAAACATCAAGTTGTGTATTTTTTTACAATACTGAAAAGTATAGTAAATGAAATTCCATAGAAGAGATAAAGGGAGTCCCTTCAGTCAAAAATGGAATACAGAGAAAAAATGATGTTCACAATTTGCTCATCTTCTTCCACTGACTAGCAGTGTGACCTGAAAAACAGTTCCCTTTCTCTGGCATTCTGTGCCTTTCACTTGGATAAAATATTTCTCTGGTCTTGAGATAGAACCTTGAAAGGGCCTTTTATATTTTTCATAAATTTATTTCTTAGAATGGTTTTAAATTTACAGAATTATTGTGAGGACAGCAGAGGTCCCATAGACCCTCCACACAGTTTCTTCTATTATTTTTTTAAGATTTTTATTTATTTATTGTTGGGGGAAAGAGAAGGAGAGAAACATCGATCGGTTGCCTCTTGCATGGCTCCAAATGGGGACCTGTCCTTCAACCCTACCTGGGCATCGAATCAGCAGCCTTTCAACTTTGCAGTCAGTCTGGTGCTCAATCCACTGACCACCACCAGCCAGGGCAGTCTCCCCTGTCACTAACATCTTACGCTAGTATAGCATGTGTTAATGAACTGACATTGATACACTAACTAAAGTCCATGCTTTATTCAGATTTCCTTAGTTTTTACAATGCCCTTTTCTGCAAGATTCCATCCATCTAAAGCACCACATTACTTTTAGTCATTAGACTCTCCTTGGTTTTGAGGACCTTGACAGTTTTGAGTATTTTGTATTGGGATATGTCTGATGTTTCCCCCTCATGATTAGACTGGAGTTATGGGATTTGGGAAGGCAAGCCACAGAGGTAAAGTTCCATTTTCATCATAACGTATCAAGTGTACATACTATCCATTATCGCTGTTGAGGCTGACCTTGATCACCTTGGTTAGATACAGTTTGTCAGGTTTCCGTACTGTACAGTTACTCTTTCCTCCTCTCTCCATATTGTACTCTACAGGAGAAAGTCCCTGTGTAAAGCTCACACTTAAGGAATAGGGAGTTTTGATCCACCTCCTTGAGGACAGAGGGGCTACATAAATTACTTGAAATTCTTCTTCATGGGAGATTTGTCTCTTCTCACATTTATTTAACAATCCCACCATTTATATATGGACTCAGGATATTTATTTTATATTTTGGGTTATAATCTCGTACTTTTATTTTCTTGTCCAAGTTGTTTCAGCTTCAGCCATTGGGGAGCTCTTGCACTCAGTATTCCCACCATTTGTGGGTGTTTTTGCTTTGTTTTTAGCACTTCCTTACTTTCTGGCACAAAAATGCTTCAGGTTCATCTTGCACATTTCCTGTTCCAGTACTAGAAACAGGCAATTTTTCCAAAGAGCTCCGGTTCTCTTTATGGGTGAATGGCATTAGGAACCAAGACTTGAGAGGTAGGTGTACTTGTTGCTATGAAGGGTCCACTGAGTCTCTAACTTTTCATCTAACAGAACAAGGAAATTAATGAGTACAGTACCTGTGTCTATATATTTATAAAAATATGCATACGGCTCTGGCTGGTGTGGCTCAATCAATGAGTTGAACGCTGGACTGCAAACAGAAAGGTTGCCCTTTCCATTCCCAGTCAGGGCATGAGTCTGGCTTGCAGGCCAGGTGCCCTGCTGGGGGTGTGTGAGAGATAAATGATCCAAGTTTCTTTCACACATCGACGTCTCTCTCTTCCCCCTTCCCTTTCTCTAAAAATAAATAAAATATTTTTTAAATATGCATATGCATTTCTATATGTAGCCATCTATGTCTATTTTAAGCTACATAGGAGCTCATGCTGCACATAGATAATTCTAGCCCCATACCCAAAGAGGACGTTTTAATCATTCTAATTTTGATGCAGCACTGGCCTCATTTCAGGATTTAACTTCCTGAGTTAAATTAATGGTGCTAGTGGTATCTGTGACACAGTCAGTGGAAAGAATGTTGAATTGGATGATAAGGCATGGGTCTAAAACACCCCTTAAAAAGGGTTAAAAGCTATCAATACTTTAGATTGCTTAACTAGTTTACTTCCCTATACACTAAGATTATTTGCCCAACTCATGGGACTGACATGAACACGAACTGTGTCAATATGATTTTCTTAAGTATTTAACTTTCTATTAAATACTATCTTGAGGCTGCATTCAGCTGCAATAAGTTGAATGCTAATTCTGTAATAAATACCAGAGCTTCTGTAACGACAAAAAAACTTCATTTCTTTAATATGACCTTTTCTCCTTTCTTTGTCATTCAAACTGGACTCACTGCCCCCAGAGGTGTTGCAGGTGGGGCTGCTGTGTCACAATTTTTGTCATTTGGTGGCATACACTCAGCGTTCTGCCTGGGATTTGGATGACTGACAGTCTGACACTTAAAAAGAAAGTAAAACTGGCCTGCTCCAGCACCCTGACTCACCTGCTGCCTTCTCCCTTAATCATTAAGCCCCCAGGACAGTGAGGTTCTGGCTGGCATCACATAATCTTAGCAATCCATCGGGTGGCTGACATCAGAACCAGATGCACTGATAAGCGACCCCCTACCCTAGTACTGACCAATGAATAGATACCACGACCCTAACTCCCTTAGTCACCAGGGATATCCAACAGGATACTCGCAAGTCCGGTAACACATCTTTCGGTTATCGTTCAAAATGCCAGGGTAGTCTTCTCTATGGATCTATGTCTTTGTTCATCATTTACGCGCTGCAAATGTCTAGGCAGTAGATTCTGTTGACTGTTACTATTATTTTGAAGCTTATAGTACTGAGCTATTAGGCCAAAGGGGTTTAAGTAGCTCACCGGTTAACAGAAAACACTGAGACCTAGGTCACTAGGACACCACAGTGACTGTAGACTAACTGCCATTAGAGGAATACCTGAGTCGGAAGGAACACATTCTCCCAACAAAGACAAAAGGAATTGGATACTGGGTTAGGCGCGATTTTGCACATCTGAACTCATTTAATCCTGTATCAACTCTAAACGGGGTCTTATTCTCACTTTCCTCAGAAAAACTGAGGATCTGATAATAGGCGGATGCGAAATTCCAGTCAACCATTCAATGGGGCCCTGGGTGACTCCGCTCTCAAGCCGATCCGTGAGGGGGTCAGCGCCGCAAACAAAGCCCCGGCCGCCCCGCTGCCCGCCGCGTTCCCGGAACTCACCCTCGGCGCTGTCGCGGGTCCGGTGGAAGTCCTCGGAGCGGCCGTCGCGGAAGGCCCGGCAGAGAGAGAGGCAGAGGAAATCCAGCATCCAGCCTCCAGCTACCGCCTCGGCCTCCGCCACCAAGCCCGCGTCGTTCTCTTTCTCCGGGGCCCCCATCTCAACCTGACACTCAAGCAATTCCTGGCATTCGAATGATTCCTCAATATCTCTCGCCGTTTCCCACCGCCGCTTCTCTGAGGGTCCCGCATCCTCCCCGTCCGCTCGCCCCCGGGAGCTCGGGGACCCTCCGGCATCGCAACCCGCCATGTTCAACCACTGGCGCGGGTTTTGCTACTTTGAGCTCCGGGAGTCGATTGGCTCGTGCTGGAGGGCGGAGGTGGTGCCAGGGCAGGCTCTTCCGTAGGGAATTCACCAATCAAACCGCTAGAGTGGGCGAACATGGTTTTTGATTGGTCTACACCTGCTCTCGCCTCGGGAAGTTAATTTCCCGTCTCTAGAACGCGGGGCTTTATGGTAAACTAGATTAACTCGAGATTGGGAAGGGAGAGAGAGATTTTTTTAAAAAGAGAGGTAATTAGAATTTGACTCCATTATTCAAGCGTTACACTTTACCCTAGTGTTCATCTAACACAATTACTACCCGAGCACGAACCAGAACTGTTAAAACTGTTTTACATCCGTGTTTCTCCAACCTTAGTGTGCATCAAAATTAACCCCGGGACTTGCTAAACTCAGGTTGCCGCGCTTTACCCCAGTATCGGTTCTATAGGTCTGGATCCGGGTTCCTGAACTGGCAAATCTAACAAGTTCCCAGGTGATGCTGAGGCGGCTTGTCTGGGGACTACATTTTGATAAACACTACTCTAGAAGAGAAATACAATAGAATATACAATGCAGCTCATTCTGAACTTTGAAATTTACCCACAACGTAGTAAAGGTGGTGGGGAGGTATTTGGTTACAGTGTGTTTCTCTACGTAGGTATAGTCATGTGAGTGTATTCACTTGATGGAAATTCATTTAACGTGATTTATGCACTTTTAAATGTGTGTCATATTTAAATAAAAAGTTTACCTTAAAAATCTGTTTATAACAACCAACATTATCAAAGCCTTAATGTGTTCTAAACTTACACATTATTACCTTAACGCTATAGTTTAAGTGTGGAGTCACTAAAGCTCTTTATTATAGCCATTAAGAATTCTTAGGTTGCCTCCTGGCCAGGTAGTTCAGTTGGTTGGAGCATTGTCCCCACATACCAACGTTGCAGGTTCAATCATGGTCAGGGCACATACAAGAATCAACTAATGAATGTGTAAATCAATCAATGGAAAGAAAAAAGAAAGGATACCTAGGCTGGAATGTCTTCTACCAGTTGCCCACTAAGCTGTGTGCCTTAGATAAAGTATGCCTCAGTTTTTTCTTCTTTATATTAGGCATAATAATGAAGCCCTCATCACTGGTTTATGGGGGGTGTTAAAGGGCTTAGTAAATAGAGTTTAGAAGGAAGTCAGGAATATACTAAGTGTTCAATAATATTAGCTGAACAAACAGGACATTTGTGCTACCTGGAAAGAGTGATGAGTCAGAAGGGATGCACCCTTCAGGCTCTAATGGTCCCATAGAAAGCTCCATTTTGAAAAAATACAGGAAAATAGGGTCTAAGGGAATGAGGGTTAAGGTGCACTATGAACATAACAAGCAAACCTCAGGTTTCCAAAGTGAAACTTTTTTTTTTTTGTCATGCAAGTCTCTCAAATAGGGCCTGCTTCTTTTCCTCCAAGCCTCCTCTTCTCCTTTCAAGGAGGAAAGGGTTTTTCCTAGGTATGTCAACCAATTCATTCAAAGCCACCAAGTGAACATGGCATATTTTTCTGTGATTTCAACTCACTGAAAGATTTAGGGAAGTGAAACATTTTTTTTCAATTATGTATAATGAAGTAGAATTTTTTAAATGCATATTTTGATTATGATTTAATCATAATCATTAACAAAATTTTTGTTTAGAGCTACTTCTAGCTACATACTGCATTCTCTGGCCTCTTCCCTTACTGGCATTTCACCGAAGGCAAATTAAGAAGCTGTGGCCTATTTGGGTGGGTCTAAAATCCCACTCCAGCAGAAAATCAATATGCAGAATCTTACTGCGTTGTGGGCTAGAAAAAAGGCCTGGAGTGGGAGGTCTCTTAAAAAAGTAATTTTTAAATCTGCCCATTAGGCCAGATGCAGAGTTATTCTCCTGAAATAACACTTTGACATTGCTATCATCAGAAAACTCAGCTGTGATTAGTGTAAACCAGATACAATAAAACTTCTAATACATGAAGTTCCAGTAACTTTAGCCAAATATATTTTAATTTAATGGTATGATAGATAAATCAAACACATGACATTTCAGCAAAACTTGTATGTAATTGGTAAACGTTCTGTGATGGGAAATTTTTCTGGCAGAAAAGTTTGTAAGTTGTCATTCCTTTCATGACTGCTTTTAAGAAGGTGGATACTAGTAGTTCAAGATGAATGAAGAGGTGGGTAGGAGGGATAATCTTGAGTTTGATGATTTTTAAAGTCACCCCTTAGGTAAAATTAGGAAATTATATTTCTTGCAAACTTAAATTTGCGGACTTGATGCAGAGAGATCTGATCAGGTTACTAGGGAGGAGTAGAGAGGTCTATAGGAGGAGGTCGCCCAAGGCAATAGTAAACAGTCCAGAATGGGATTGGCTTAGAAGCTAAATGCCTCCAGTGTGCATGGAATTATGGGCCAGAATTATGGACAGGAGATTTAAAGGAGGGCAGAGACTGGCTCTCTTTCTTCTCCTTGAGCATGTTTGGATGATTGTGCTGTAGCCACCTATGTTTCCCAAAGGACAGTATTTTAAATAGGAGAAGGAACTCTGGGCACAGCCTAGGATTGGTCTGGCCTGGCAAAGGGTGGTAGGGTTATTTTTCTTTTGGTGTTCTAGAAGGAATGGTCTCTGAGGTAGAAGCCTGCCATTCTTCCAAAATTGTGTAGCTTTTATATCTTACATTGTTTTAGTTTGTAAACTAACCTTATAGAAATAAGATACCATATTTTGCCATGTATAATGTGTACTTGTTTGCCCAAATTTTTGAGGGAAAAATAAGGATGTGCATTATACATGGGTATTACTAATTCTGTATCAATATAAATGTTTTTAATTCTTTTATTTATGCTTATGTGTTAAAAGTATAACTCTAGAAAGCAATAACACTATATGCAAAATAATACCCTGGAATATGATAATTGGTTTGTTTATAAATATAAATAAATAAATAAATAATTGAATTAAAAAATTAAAACAAAATATTTTTTCCTGAAAGTTTGGGCCAAAAACATGGGTGTGCATTATACATGGGAGTGCATTATACATGGCAAAATATGGTGTTTATGCATTCATTCATTGGTTGATTCTTGTATGTGACCTGACGGAGGATCAAACCTGCAACCTTGGCATATCAGGATGATGCTCTAACCAACTGAGATACCGGGCCAGGGCAGTAAGATACTTTTTTTTAAAAAATAAAAACATTCAGAGTACATCTGGGCTGTAACAAATCTACATAACAGATTTGACAGCATTTCCTTTTGAAATTAACCAATCCCTTGACTAAACAGACAAATTGGTGTATTTTGTCAGCTCTTGTGATATTCTTCCCAGTAGAGGTCACTATGTAATGAAATATTTGGTTAAACGATAGACTGCATAGCACACTGCCCCCATACAAAGTTTTTCAATCTCTTTAAAAAAAATCTATGAAAACCATTCTTACTAACTCAGCTTGCAAGTCCAATAGGCAAAAGAGCTAAATGCAAGGTGGGATGGAGGCCAGAGAGCCTAACAATTACATGTATACATGTATGTACTACTTCCTGTCTAGGTTGGTCTGAAGCTAGTAGGTAGAGTTAAATGAAGACACTTTACTGGAGCAGGAAGTGTTAAGGAAGAGAGAAAGGCAGTCTTTTTCAGGCAGAAATTGGAGCTCTATTATCAGATTATCAGAGATAAATTTTACCTAGAAAATGAGAATGATTTAAAATCTTAGTTGAATTAATATTGCTGCCAAACAGAATCTATCTATCTATCTAGATACCTATTGTCTACCTACCTACCTACTACCTGTCATCCATCCATCCATCCATCCAGTGTCATTAGTTGCAGAGATTCGTACATTTAGTTGTATTATGTGCTTGATAAAACATTTCTGTAGTTTATTCTCAAATACCTTCTTATCTGGTAAAGAGAGTGGAGTGTGGGTGTTGGTGTCTTTGGGATGCAATACACCCTTCCAGGAGACCCTTTCTTTAATTACAGTGCATTAGTGGCCATCTACAAAGTTACTGGTGAATCTGACATGAAGAACTTATGCAGTTCTTAAGCCAGTAAAAATAACACAGTGAACATAAATTGGAATTCTAAGAATATATTGCAAGAACATAAAAAAGCACAAATATTGATCTTTTCATAACACTTCTGAAATAAATGTAAGGTTTGAATTCATTCATCATGATAAGAATATCATTTTTAAAGAATCAATACATATGTTATATAGCTATAATGCTTAGTAGGAAAATTTTTTCTGTCGAAAATTGCCCCATGGGCAAATTATTGGAAGAAATTTAGATAATTTAGATACACAGCTTTTATTTCTACTCAGAGTTGCTATATTACACATATCAAAAATTATACCAAGGAACTGTCAACAGACCATTGACATACTAAATAAAATGATGATAGCAACTGGAAACTTAATAAGGTGATGATTTTCTATTGCTGTGTAACAAACCATCTCCAAACTTAATGAGTTAAAAAATAAGTCATTTTTTTATCTCATGAACCTGCAATCTGAACTTATAAGTTGCACTGTCTCTTTCTCCTCTCTTTCCTTTCTCTCTTTCTCTCTCCTTTCTCTCTCTCTCTCTCCACTGTGTGAGAACATAGATAGGAAGAGGGCTCTCACCAAGAGCTGAACTGGATGGCACCTTGATCTTTGGACTCCCAGCCTCCCAGCTGTGAGAAATAAATTTCTCTGGTTTAGCCATTGAGACTCTGATATATGTCAGCCTGAACTGCCTAAGACAACTAAAAGTATACATTTCTTTTCTTGGCATTTTGTTTGCTGATTATTAAAAATATTCCCAAACTGTGGTGTTGTTCCTGGCTCTAGAGAGTTTTCACATTATTTTCTCTTATTTAAAAAGGTGCTTAACTTTGAAATCACCATCTTGATAATTTTGTTGAACTTCATTTTTATGAAGCAATACTCAAGATGTAAATCCCTAATCC